CACAGTAGCGGAGCGTTCACACCCCGCCTGTATCGATTCCTTCACGCGCCCAAGGCGGCACAGCTCCCTCGCTTCCGAGATGACGATGAGAACAAATTCAGGAGAGCAGCACAGGCTACCTGTGTACGAGCTCTCCTTGGTCTAAATGAATCTGTTGATACCGCCAGAAGCCGAGACGTTACTATTTGGCTCCTCCATCAAGATATGTTCATAGCGATGGCGTGACCAACCGATAATCAAGGTGTTCGGCAACATCATATAAGTACTATATGGTCATGGGGAAACCGGGAATGAGTGGTTGGAGTGAAATTATGACTTTCCACCGCGTTACACACATACATGTACTGGGTGATAGTAGTTGAGGGGGAAGGGAGTGCAAATGACAGCCGGAGTTCCCCGCAGATGTATGTCCATTTCATTTATTCCCGGGCATTTCATTCTCATCGCCGTGATGGATGGCCCTGAGCGCCTGACGAGACCCGTGGCCGTCGACGTGCCCTTCTGTCCACATTGTGGGCGAACAGTGCTGAGACATTTGTGTGCTGCAGGCAAGCACACCGCTACAACTACATACCTGTTACAAGTGTTCTCCCACGAACATAAGATGGTCTTTGAGCACTCACTCGCCGAGCACCTCCTCTACCTGAGCGAGTTTCACCCTTGAGGAGTTTGCCCTCATCGTTTGTGAGGTTTATTTTAGCGTCTGGACCATCCCTTCGAACCTTCCCATACTACATAGCGAGACTGGACACTACTCAGGTGACACGCGAGAAGTTCTGCAGGCGGAGGATTGCTCAAAGTGAGGTCAGAATACCAGCAGAGTGGGGTGGTGAGTGGGCAGCTGGCGAACAAAATGAACATGGTTCTCAACAGCCCAGCACGGACGCGAACCGATCATCTTACGAAACATATACGTACATATGATCGTGTCAGAAAGTCACAAAACGGCAAACAAACGACTGCAGCTTGTGCTTGCGTTGATCACTCAACTGGCTGCGAGGGGTGAAGTTTAGTTGTGAAATAAAAGACGTCCAATAGAGCATTGGCGTAGGGCGAGCACGTGTCGATCAGTAATCGAGACTGAGGAACCGGTAAGCGACGATCGTTCAGACCCCTTTGTTGAACCGACAGAGTGTTGTCACACTCGTACGAGGTTGAGCCGATACAACACCCGTGTCAAGCGCCACACACTGGCTCCTACAGCAGTAGTGCAGGTATGGACAAAATACAGTCGTTTGATGTGCCGTTTTTTTACGTTCTTGAAACGATCAAATATATGTTTCGTCAGATGATAGGTTCGCGTCCGTGCTGGAATGCTTCAAGCATGTTCATTTTGTTCGCAAGCAGTAATGTGATCTCGCTTGAGCAATTCTCCGCTCGTAAACTTCTCGTGGTCGGTTGAACATTGTCGAGTCTTGCAATATACTATGTAAAATCCCGACGGTGTTGCCCAGAGCACCGCCACCACGAGCCTCACAAACGATGAGAGCGAAGACGGTCCTCCTTCCTTCGACGCCGCAGCAAACAATGACCAACTCCGCAAGGGTGACTTTCACTCAGGTAGCGGAGCTGCTCGACAAGTGAGTACTCGGGGACAATCTCGCGGTTGTGGAAAAGAACTTGGAACAGGGGACACAAACGTCTCAGCAATGTTTCACCCACAACGTAGCCAAAAATCCGAATGGATTGCCTTGGTCTCTTCAGAAGGCACTCAGGGTCATGCATGCGCGCAATAAGACCTACACGTCACAGTGATGAGAATGAAACGCGCGGGCAAATATTTGGACATGCCCGTTGCATCTATCTACTAATTACCCGCCTGCTGTTAGCACTCCCCCGCCTCCTTCCCTCTACAGTAGAATCTAACCCCGGTATGTATATGTATGTGTGGGTGAAGGTAACGTAGCGGAGTCAGGTATTGATTCCAGCCATTCATTCCCTCGGCCGCCCACAACCATGGTCCGGTACGCGGGGCGGCTAGCATGTTGGCCTGGTGGAATGTCTACATCACGATGTGTTTCTACGCTCCACGGCGATCGTGGAAGCGGGCGGTTGGTGCGACCCTCGCACCCATCTCCTCTTAGAGTTTAATCCGTTCAGAGAATTTGGAGACAGCAAAGGCCGACCTTGCCATAAACTTGGCCATCCAACAAGCCTACCGCAAGGAAACCTCGACTGTGCATCTCCGTCTCTGTGTGTTGGACGTGACGGACGCGTTCTGTGGAGGTTATCACAATGACAAACTTGTTGTCATATCGATGAAGAAAGCACTCTGCTTTGAACCTTCCATGCTGCGTCTCACTGTTCGCTTGGTTATGTTCAAAACGCCAACTGCTTCTTTCAAGGAAAAATTTAGGAATTTCCACATTGCCGGCGTGGTCGAATGCCAAGCACGCACAAACACGTACAAGCCAAGTATTCGACCAAGGATACAAGTACCACGGTTTTCGTTTCAGTCCTGTCGTGCAATGACGAAAACGCAACATAAGATAGAGACAATGTGGATCTACCAATACATCGCTCCCACCATACATCACTCCCTCCCTCCCCGCACACGATGAACCCCCAAAACAACCGTTTGCATGCACCAACAAACCCATAACGTACCGTCTCACACCCAACGTATGACAAAGAATATTAGCCCTTTCGACAACGAGGAAACACACCCCATGGCACAACAACACTTTGCGGTGACGTACAGACACCTGCGACGGATGAAGCCACACGCCAAACTCCACTTGCTATTGCGCGCATAATATCTTCATATTTTCCTGCCGTACAGGACACCGCGAAGGCATTTGTTCTAAGCAAACGCGTCATCTCGGCAGAAGAAGTACAATATGAGATGTTAGTTCTCAAACTACATTGTAGCAATTTTGTTCATATTGTCTCTTCTTGTGTTTCACCGAGACCTGGCGTCTGCCATTGCAGCCACAAGCAGTCGCAGCACGTTCAGCGCTTTCATCACACCACCCCACATGCACCGACCCTCGCACGTCTATAAACACCGCGGTCATGTCCTTCCTCAGCGACAACAAGTCTCTCCGTCAGAGTAAAACAGATAGAGCCTCAATTGCCTCAATCGGCATTCCTGTATGACGGTGTGCACGAGCCATCGGGGCGACTAGAGGATCGCTGGTCGGTATAAACGAAGACTTGGGGAAGGTACGCCAATGGTGTTTTCGTTTTCTGTGTACTTTCGTCAAGGAAAACCGGACCCCAACACCCCCCAATCGATACTACACGGTCCGCAACAAATTTTCAACATGCTTGATATACATCGGCCGACCAAACCCTCACGATTCTGCTGGCAATCATCAACCGATCAACCAAAGCGGGTGCCCCGTGCTGCGTACGAGGGCTAGGTGACACGAGGTAAGAAAAGTATTGTATTCCTGTCCCACAGAAGCATCTACGGGGAGGTTCACTCACAACAGAGTCATGCTGCGAGCGCCTCTAATCATGGCAGTGCCTACAGTCCACAGTTCTCTGAACACCGGCACAACGTCCCTGTCCGCTGTGTGGCTTAAGATATGGCAACTCATACCGTCCGTTTCACCCGGCGAGTCACGCGATACAGCGGTACCTATGCTGGCCGTTTCCCGCCCGTTACAGCATCTTGGTGCTTGCCTCACGCGATGCAGGTGAACACGCTTGGAGCCCTGAGAAGAAGCAATGTGCGTGCGGTTAGCTTCCGCCACTTGCGCTCACCCAGCTTGCACCATGGCTGACCGGCCTGGTCGAAAGATAGGTCGGTGACGCCCCCCACAAGTTAGGATAACCAGGGAGTTTGGCCACACGATTCCGGCGCGAGGCAGACGGAAGTGCATCCCAAAATGCAGCTCCTGAAGGGACGCCGGCCACTTGATTCCGTCAATGGGCTTCCTGAACTTGTCGGGAAAACGTAGCTTCCCAAGGAAAGCTGGCCACGCGACTCCGGCGATGGGTTCATCGAATGTGAACCCGAATGACAGTTGCTGCAGGGACGCGGGCCACACGACCTGTGCTGGGCTGGTTGAATTTGTACCCGAAGAGCAGCTGCTGCAGGGATGCAGGCCACGCAATTTCAACAATAGGCTGATCAAAGTTGTGCCCGAAAGTCAGCTTCCGGAGGGGTGCCGGCCACACAACGTCAGTGATGGGTTGGTTGAATTTGTACCCGAAGGACAACTGCTGCAGGCAGGCCGGCCACACGACTTCGGCGGTGGACTGGTTGAAGCAGCATCCAAACGACAGCTGCTGCAGGGAGGCCGGCCACGCAACGTCGGCGACGGGCTGATTAAATTCGAATCCGAACGATAGCTGCTGCAGGGAGACCGGCCACACAACTTCGGTTACCGGCTGAATGAAACGCCATGCAAACGACAGCTCTTGCAGGGAGGCCGGCCACACAACATCGGCAACGGGCTGATCGAATTCATTTCCGAACGATAGCTGCTGCAGCGAGGTCGGCCACGCGACTTCGTCAAGAGGCTGATTGAAATTATCTCCAAACGATAGCTGCTGCAGGAGGGCCGGCCACACGACCTCGGATAAAGGCTGGTTGAAACGATCTCCAAACGATAGCTGCTGCAGGGAGGCCGGCCACGAGGTCTTGTTCACTGGCGTATCCAACTCCAATAGCAGCCAATTGAGCTTCTTGAGCCAAAACATCGATCCTAGGCTTGCTGCAGATGAAGGCCCATTCATGCGCTGTTATGATGATCCAGACCCAAGCTCGATGGCAGAACTCTGCGGCAGAACCTCCGTCGGAAGTCCCCATGTTAAACCAAAAGCCTGCACAGCCGGCACGCGACTCACGATGTAGTCCTCTCGACTGCGTTTGCTGACTGTGGTGTGTGATCAGCGAGGGCACCACAAGCTACGGGGCGTTTGTCCATCCACTCGGACGTGCAAGTTCGGGACACATCTGCACGCTCCGCAGAATGCCAGTGACACAAGCTGTAGCTCCAGCGTAGATGAATACCAAAGCCTTTCCCCCCCATCATCGTAAGTCTGGTTCAAGGCGACGATGAAGGCGTCCAGGCACTCTCTTTGTCCTGAGATAGTGGGTGGTAGATAAACACGTGGGAATGCCCACAATAGAATTGTTGTGGGCCGTGAGAAAGGTTTTGGATGCGCAGCTGGTAGGGTAAAGTCGGATGCAGGGAAGAAAGTCAGAGTGGAGGGGTTCCTCCCAGTCGAACATCAAGACGACGGACCCCAGTTCACTTGCCGACATCAACCCTTGATCGCCAAACAAAGTAGCTGTGTCCCGTGATCGATCACATGTGCTTTCTTCGAATATGTTCATATTCGATGCCCTTCTTTGAACGCTAGTTGCGTCGAGGGCCGATATACTATGTATTTAGGCCGCTACAACACGAAGAAAAACGAACAGCAACTTGGGTCTTATGCAATATGATTTGAGCCTAATTCACGGTGAAGCTATTTTCGAAACAGGAACCAAGACCAGCAGGCTCTTCGGCTCCACTTCTGGCAATGCTGGGGCGACAGTTTCATCTCCAAAACTCGGATATAAAATATACCACTCTTGGATGGTTTACCTGTATCGATAGGGATGACCTGTATCTCCAGCATTCAAGACTTGGCGTTCCAACCCAAACGCGTTTTTCATCAACAGGCACAGCAGAGACAAACCCGAGCTCGGTACAGTATTCTCCCCGGGACCGGTGTTCTTTCGGCGGGCTAGAGCCATGTTTTCAAAGCAGCCCTTTTGCCTTTGGCGGGCAAGTCATGTGCTTCGCCTGGAAATCAGTACCGGCCACAACAAAGTGTCATCTCCCGCATCAAGTGTTTCGTGAATGCCCCTCTTTCTCCTCATGGAACACCACGATATTTCCGGCCCCTTGCTACAGTAGCTCGCTCCCCCTATATTTCGACACAGAATCTGGACGGCCAAACGGATTAGAGCTCGGCCGAAGCACACGGCAGCTCGTTCGCGCTTGTGTGCGTTTTCGACGCACACAACCACCCGACTCATACAAGTCTCAGCGGACAAGAGCGAATATTCTGCATTTGACTTACCAGAGATTTGTCCAAGAAGGGCCAGGGAGTGACGGTGTCTTTCTTCCTTTCAACGGTGCCCTTGGTGGCCTGGTGGCCCCTCTGCAACATCGTTATTGCCGAGCCCACCAGGAGGCACACTCGGAGAGAATTTTGAGGTGCCACTTAGGGATAAGGTGTCGCCATGGCCGCGAAAGATAAGTCAGGCGCTTGCCTAGGCAAACATGTTTCTGTCAAGGTTTGTACCCAAAAAAATGTAAGAATCCTTCCCACAAGGTACAAATCAATGGAAATGACGTTAGTTGAAGAAGTGATGTTGAACGATTGTTTCCCTCATATATCTGTTATTTTGTTTGTGCACGGTTCTGGAAATTGTTTGGAACATTCCCAGATCAGCTCCTCATAATACATCAGTACAATTTTCGTGACCATTTATTCTTCCCATTGGGGGTGGGATGAGACGGTGTCCTCACCTCCCGCGGCTGGTGAAGACACCCGACCCGTCGAAAACTCCTCCTTTCCTTCCAATCTCGATTTGGAGGATATTATCCTATGTTCATTCAAAATTATTTCTTCTTTGCAACAGAGGACTATCTCCAAAACGCCGCCAACGGGTGACCCAACAGCAGATGAGACCCTATTTGATCCCACTCAAAGATGAACGGCTGAAGGTAAAACCCTCTGGTCTGACCTCTAGACCACTTACTGCCGTCAGGTGGCAAGCCTGTTCGGCTGTTACATGCTTAAAACACCAACTTTCAACAGGCTTGAACCTTTGCCAGTATCATTTACCTGATACTCTGTAAATGTGCATCCACTGAAGTCTCATTGCTAGACACAGCTTTCATCCTATCCATACTGCTGGTCGCCCCGGTGGTCTAGTTGGTAACCACGAAAACTTCTAGGGGTCAGTTCAGCGGTTCGAATCCCGGCATAGTCTAAGCGGGCTTTTCTTGCAAAGTGAGTTTTTCTCTCGCTTCCGCTCCTGGCCTAATGGATAGCGCTAGTTCGTGTGTACACAGAGGGAAGAGAGTGCTGAACTCTTCTCGCATTAAAAAATCGAAGGCCACGTACCGCAGGAGGGGAGGGTAGAGAGGGGCTCTTCTGTGTGACCACGGGTTGGAGCAAACAGCACTACAGTAATACTGCTGTGAGCGCTGATTTGAAGCGAAGACCAAAAAAAAAAATGCTTTCGTTCCAACTTCAACCCAACGCAAACTCTCTCACGTTGGGAGTTCATGGCAATACCCGCTGTGGAGTGCACCGACCAGCCAGCAGCAGAAGCAGCAGCAGCAGCAGGGCGTGTGTGTGTGTTTGTGCGTGCGGGCCAGAAGTATAGCAAGAGCAGCTGATAGGCGAGGCAGCCGGAGTCACACGGTGGAACGGTCTATGTACTGGTCTTCAAATATTGATACCGCCCGCCGATTCGTCGAAAGCAACAGTCCGGAAAAAGCAGAACCCCGGAACCCCCAGAGAGACCCCGAAGAGACGGTGAGACGATACGGACAGACATTACAGCGAGACAAGGACACCGAGAGACTGCCTCGTCGGCGACACTGGAATATTGCTGGCGTGTCACGTGTGTGCTGCTGAGGCAATATCTTCCTGACCAAGGAGCAGGTGAGGCGTATGCCGGCCTGCCTGTCTTCCTTGTCTTTGACGGAGTGAATTCTGTAAACCGGAACCGCCCTGGCACTTCCACGTGCGCCATGCACTTTCACATACAGGTGATGATTGTCCCACATGTACCGTCCGTGGCCCACCCAAAGGTCGCCTGTTCTCAAGGAGGGCGTTGATATTGACTCGATAGCGAGGCGGATCCTTGCGCGCAAACCGTACCCCTTTGTTGACCTGCTGCTGTATATATAATCCATAAAACTGAATGCGATCGCGGCTGATCTTCTTCGCCGGGCACAAGACGCACACGCTGGCTTGATAATCGTACCGCGTGTAGCTAGGCATGGAATCTGTATGTAGATGTGTGCGCCAAAGGTTGCTGCCAAGCCAGCAAGATCTGTGTGCCCGGCCATGCCCTCGCGGCAACTTCTTCAAAGGCGATCAATCCTGCTGTTGGGCATCGCGCCTCTGGGTGAATGTTGATCGAATGTTGCGTAGGTGCTCCTTGCGTTTGACAGAGAGGGATAGCAGTTGTCGTGTTGCTTACAAACATCCCGGCGCCTCTGGGTGAATGTTGATCGAATGTTGCGTAGGTGCGCCTTGCGTTTGACAGAGAGGGATAGCAGTTGTCGTGTTGCTTACAAACATCCCGGTGTGACCCAAGATGAAAAAGGTAATGAACGGGTTCTGCGCTGTGGCGGTGTGGCGGTGTTCCTCGTTTCTGTGCACGTAGGCCGAAAAATAAGGCGTGTACAACTTCTAGGTAGCCAGCTTGGGCGGGTGGGCGACCAATAGAGCCAGCTGGTGCAGCGACAGCGCTCGATGTTTCTCTTGAATTTGCAGATGAGCCGAGGTCGGATTACCAATCGTGCGAAAGGATCTTTAGGGGGTTCGGGGGTAGGGTTTCCGGAAGGTTCGGAAAGCATGCCGTACTTTTTGGGCGCGCGCGCACGCGGTTCTTGACGGTTTGGAGGTGGTACTCGGCTAGCTCAGCTCTGCTAGCTTGCACACTGAAGCCCGAGCTGTGCAGGCTTGCAGAGCCCGCCTGCTCGTATGTTCAGTGGAGTATGTTCCTGCGCGCACAGGGGACTCATGGTGTGTAGGGGAGGAGAAGAATGCTGCTAGAAAAACATGTCAGGACCGCCGAAAGCAATCAATTAGTCTACAATGTAGACTGTTGTCGGGGGCACCGATTTGTATGTGCGCGCTACCGGGCTGCCGGCCGTTCGGTAGGGCGTGTACTGCTGCTGTACGAAGAGCGAGTGGAATATCTAGCTGAGTCTAGGTGCTGTAGGTCTAGGCCTTTGCACAGCTTCGAGATGACCGGAACCGCTTTCTGCGCTGGCTGTACACGAAAGAAACAACCGATTGCCCCGCAACGCTAGAGGTAGGCGCATCAGCATCCAGATCTGCCGCTGCCATCTGCTTCCAGATTGATAGCTT